TACCATATTTTTTTTACTTAATATCTGTGCATGATAAACATTTTACTGCAAAATAAACATCATATACCTATTTCATTAACCAACCAAACTTAAAGCTTGTTTACCAAAAAATTGGTTAGATGACCTAAATATCCACCAACCCAGGAATGGATTAATAAACTTGGTATATGTATACCATGGAATACTATTCAGCCATTAAAAAGATGGAGAATTGGCTCGGCGCCTGTGGCTCAAGCGGCTAAGGCGCCAGCCACATACACCTAAGGTGGCGGGTTCGAATCCCCAGCCCGGGCCCGCCAAACAACAATAATGGCTGCAACCAAAAAATGGCCTGGCGTTGTGGCGGGCGCCTGTAGTCCCAGCTACTTGGGAGGCTGAGGCAGGAGACTTGCTTGAGCCTAGGAGTTGGAGGTTGCTGTGAGCATGATGCCATGGCACTCTACCCAGGGGGATAGCTTGAGGCTCCGTCTCAAAAAAAAAAAAAAAAAAAAAAAAAAGATGGAGAATTTATATTTTGTGTATTTACCTGGATGGAGGTGGAGTATGTTCTTCTTAGTAAAGTATCACAAGAATGAAGAAGCAAGAATCCAGTGTACTCAATTCTAATATGAAGGCAGTAGATAAGCTAATACAAGGGGTGGGGTAGGGGAATGAGGAGTAGAGAGAGGGGAGGAGGGGGATGGGGGTCATGGTGTATGACACACCTCATGGGGTCAGGACCTCCCATTATTATAAGAGGGGCTTTATCTAATAAGTGCAATCAGTGTAACCTAATTCTTTGTACCTTCAATGAATATGAAACAAAAAGTTAGATATAAAATAAATTTTAGGTATATTCTGTATTGTATTATATCAAATTATTTCAACTATTTCAAACAAATGAGGAAGTATTAGTAAAAATTCTAACATTTTTATAACAAATGCTAATTCCTACTTATATAATAATAAACACTACAATTTGACCAAGTTATAGATGGCATATAAGTAATATGTCTTGGATATATGAAGGGATATCAAGTTATTTATACCTTACTCATTATTATGAGTTAATATGTATTTTCTTATTTGAAGGATCTGTAATTATAACTTTTTTCCTTCTTCAACTGTTTTAGAAAAAAAAATTAGAAAGTTAGTATTTAAAATGTTTTTCCCAAGTTATGGTGGAAATGAGATAGTAAAGTCCAGCTGTTATAATAAACAAATGAATTAAGCTACGAGCAAATGAAAATAAAAAGACAAATTTCAGTGGCATCTCGGACAGCCATTAACAAGCCCGAAGAGAGGCAGAATGAAACTTAACCCTGCTGGCACCTGGATCTTGGATTGCTAGCTTCCAGAATTATTAGTAAATGAATTTCTGTTGTTTAAGCTATTCACAAAACATTAATGGCATCTCTTTATCTTTCTTTCCCTTCCTTCCTTCCTTCCCTCCCTTTCTCTCTCTCTTTCCCTTTTTCCATCTGCTGTTTAAACCAGTCAAAAAACATTAATGGCATCTCTTCTATTCTTTTGTTTCCTTTCCTTCCTTCTTTCTGTACGTCCTTCGTCCTCCCTTTCTCCCTCCCTTCTTTCTTTATAGGATAGGGGAGAACAGGGTCTCAACTCTGTTGCCCAGGCTGGAGTGCAGAGGCATGATCATAGTTCACTGTAAACTTATGTTCTTGGCCTCAGGTAATCCTCCTGCCTCAGGCTAATGGGTAGCTAGGACTATAGGCCTGCACCTGCACCATCATACTTGGCTTTTTTTTTTTTGAGACAGGAGCCTCAAGCTGTCCCCCTGGGTAGAGTGCCATGGAAACACAGCTCACAGTAACCTTCAACTTCTTGGCTCAAGCGAGTCTCCTACTTCAGCCTCCCAAGTAGCTGGGACCACAGGCGCCCACCACAACACCTGGCTATTTTTTGGTTGCAGCCGTCACTGTTGTTTGGCAGACCCAGGCTGGATTCGAACCCGCCACTTTGGGTGTATGTGGCTGGCGCCTTAGCCACTTGAGCCACAGGTGCTGAGCCTGGCTCATTTTTTTTTGTAAAGACAGGGTCTCACTATGTTGCCCGGACTGGTCTTAAACTCCTGGCCTCAATCAATTCTCCCATATTGACCTCCCAAAGTGCTTCAATTACACATTTAAGCCACTGACCCAGTTAAGGGCATCTTTTAAATTTGCCAAAATATTTTATACTATATCTTGAAGGATATTATCCAGTTAACTTCAAAAAGGAGTAGCATCTAAGATATTTTCTTTTTATTAAGAAACGAGTAAAATCTAAAGAATGTAATATACTTCCTGCTTTAAAAAAGAAGAAATAAAAGTAACTTTAAGTTTTTTTTTTTTTTTTTGGACAGTCTCACTTTGTCACTCTTTGGTGGAGTGCTATGGCATCATAGCTCATAGCAACCTCAAACTCTTGGGCATAAGTCGTCCTCTTGCTTTAGCCTCCCAAGTAGCTGAGAGTACAGGCACACACCACCAATGCCAGACTATTTTTAGAGACAGGATTTCAATCTTGCTCAGGCTGGTCTTGAACTCCTGAGCTCAAGCAATCCACACACCTTGGCCTCCCAGAGTGTTAGGATTACAGTCGTGACCACTGTGCCTGGCCAGGTTTAAGATTTTAAAAGGTAGCAAATGAAGGAGAATCTAACAAAACTTAACATTAAGCTAAAATATTTTTATCAAGATATTTCATAAATTCAGTGCATTGCTAGGAAGGATATGAAATCATTTAGCTGACCTATTACTAAACAGGAATATTCACCTGTTCATAGTAAAGTTTACAGAAAGTTTCATTTGAATTTCTTTAAAAAATAAAAAACTGTCAGGAAATTAAGCATTCCAACCCCACTCCAAAATAATACAAGATATCCAAGTGCTTTAAAATCCAAGGCCTTTAATTTAGTTTTCAGTAATGACCATAAATGCCTTCACGACACCTCTTTCTCACTGTAAATAGAAGGCACTAGGCATTACATAACATCCTTAAGCAGTGATTCCTTCTGATGCTGGTGGAGACAAAACATTAAATGGCAAGGTTTAGATATTAACAAAGTCTTCTCAAGAAAAAAAAAAAGACATCTGAAAATCACACAAAAGAATTAAGTTACCAAACAGTCTTCCTCAGGCTCCCGATACAACTTTACATTACTTTTACAAGCACATAATCTGAAATTAAGAGATAAACCAGGTAAGTATGATATGGTTTTCAATATGTGTTAGGTTTCAATTAATACACAAATATGAAGACACAATTATCATGCTAATTGGCATCTTTTGCTACTCTTTAGCTGTGTAAAATAAACTTGACATGATATATCCTATAGTGGTATAATTAAAAAGATCCTTGATAGGACACTAACAGCTTTCAAATTCTGGTCACAAACTGTATATAAATTGTAATTTTACTAAAATATATACCTTTTTGAAAAATAATAAGGTGACCATTTATACCTAAGTAAGGTTTCCCAGAAAGTTATGAAATATTTAGCATATAAAAGTAGTTGCCCCCTTTCTGAAAGGTCAACTGTCGTTTCACAAAATAACTCATATGATCCATGGCAAGTGATTTCTTTCAAATGCCATATTCTCTCTATGACTTTGAGGTAAGCTTCAAGAGGCTGTATCCATGAGAAAAGGGGACACTTGGGGTGGCACCCATAGCTCAGTGGATAGGGAACTGGCCACATACACCAAGGCTGGCGTGTCTGAACCCAGCCTGGGCCAGCTAAAATCAACAATGACAACAGCAACAAAAAAATAGCTGGGCATTGTGGTGGGTGCCTGTAGTCCCATCTACTTAGGAGGCTGAGGCAAGAGAATCACTTAAGCCTAAGAGTTTGAGGTTGCTGTGAGCTGTGATGACACAGCACTCTACCCAGGGCAACAGCTTGAGACTCTGTCTCAAAAAAAAAAAAAAAGAAAAGAAAGAAAAGAAAAAAAGAAAAGGGCACACTTGGGTATTAGAGCACAGTTACAAACATAAGAAGCCTTTCTTGGGTCAGGAATGCCCTTAAAAATTACATCAATAAAGAATAAGAGGCTCGGCGCCTATAGCTCAACCGGCTAAGGCGCCAGCCACGTACACCTAAGGTGGCGGGTTCGAATCCCCAGCCCGGACCCGCCAAAACAACAATGACGGCTGCAACCAAAAAATAGCCGGGCGTTGTGGCGGGCGCCTGTGGTCCCAGCTACTTGGGAGGCAGAGGCAGGAGACTCGCTTGAGCCCAGGAGTTGGAGGTTGCTGTGAGCTATAATGCCATAGCACTCTACCCAGGGGGACAGCTTGAGGCTCTGTCTCAAAAAAAAAAAAAAAAAGAATAAGAGATAGCTTCAGAAGCCATTTCTTCTACAAAGACACACAACTACATTTGGTTATGTAGAGGGTAATTTAAGACACATCTATTAACGTATGTGCTATGTGTGTCTACTTTAAATAGTGATGTCTGCAGGACACTTATTCAAACAGAAACCAAATAACCTTAATCTACCAAATCACATTCTTCTAGTTTTGGCAAGGTAGTATAATTTCAAACAGAAACAAAAACAACAAAAAAACTAGCTATAACAGTGATTCAGGCAAAATTCCCAGGTCAAACAATAATAGAGAAAGAGTTCTGAGAAACATTAATTTTGGGGAGAAAATACTACCAAACAAATAATGCTGGACATCAATCTTATGCTGACTGAAATAAGTTATCACAGAAGCTTACAAATACTTTTTAAATAAGAATAGTTCAGTTTAAAGTATAGCTGATTAAGAGGTTTATAATTAGGATGTCCTTGAAAAACATCCAATTTAAATTGGCCTAATTAATAAAGGGTAAGAGAAATAAGTTCTTCAATAATTAATACTAAATGCCTTCTTGCCTTTGGAGAAGCTGATACACTGAATTTTGAAAATGGTAAAGAAAATAGCAAAATTCTGAGAACACTCATTCCTAAAGTGTCTCCATGTATATGTAAAATATACATGTTTAAAAAAATAGTGAAATAAAAAACCTACATGACAACTGAAGAAAAAAACCTACCATGCCTACTAATAATTATATACACAATGAACATCAAGAAGCATTTTTAAGCAATGATCACTTGACAGAATGCCTTTTAAAACTACATATCATAATCAAGCTAAGAAAAGCTTTAAGACTAGCGGCTGGACTTTGTGAAACACATAGGACAACAGAAGGCACTACATAAGCATCAATTACTTCTAACTATAGTTGGACACTTCAGTCTTTTCCTCCTTAAGAACAATAGCCAGTGTGAATGTTATTTTTATATCCCCCTGAGTTTTAACATGATTGGGCAAAGCAGCACCATTTTAAAAAAATATCTGCAATGCCAGCACTGCAGTATGAAATCGCTAATACTGATGGCCCCACATGTCTCTCGTAAGAGCACTTTAGAACATGATTAAAAATACAAAAATGCCTTTCAGTGTTTCAGTATTAAAGTGGAACCACCACAGATAGCCATTTTTAAAAATAATGCACTAAAAAGGTTTGTTTATACAATACAGTCTTTCCACCCTGTAGCTAGCATTCACAGCTATTTTCTACCCCTCTGTCACGGAGAGACCACCTCTGTGCGTCTGGTTGAAATGTCAATATGCTTCACGGTGCACAGTCCTTTTTGGCTGGGAAATCCTGGCAAATATCATGTCATGCCCGTTTTGAGCAGTATGCCTTGAAGGTCTTCTGGCAATGCCAAGATAATTGCATCTATATGTGTCCGTAATTTTTCCACAGTGTCAGGTTTCACAGGTAAACATTCTCGATCCGCCTGTAACTATATAAAAAACATTTGGTAGTGTTTACTGGAATCTACATTAATACAGTATATTCTTTAAACAAGCAGTTTTAAAGGGCTATTTGGAAACTTTCAGTCTTAGGCAATAATTTATAGAAACTAAAAAAGCAAAGAACATTTCACTTAAACAATACATTAGTGAGCTCAATAAATAAAGTTTCTATGTAAATTTATGGAGATTACCAAGAAATACAAGTGACTTTGTTTATGTCAGCTTATTAGGTTCCATGTAAATAACTTTAGAATAATATGGCATTATTATGATATTTGAATGACTTAAGTATTTTTAGACATATCTACCAACAATTGACAACCTCAAGTCCTTTCATTTAAAAAGTTACTTTTGTGGCAGCACCTGTAGCTCAGTGGGTAGGGCACCGGCCACATACACCGAGGCTGGTGGATTCGAAACAGCCCGGGCCAGCTAAAACAACAATGACACCTGCAACAAAAAAAATAGCTGGGAGTTGTGGTAGGTGCCTGTAGTCCCAGCTACTTGGGAGGCTGAGGCAAGAGAATCACTTAAGCACAGGAATTGCTGTGAGCTGTGCCGCCACAGCAGTCTACCCAGGGCGACAGCTTGAGACTCTATCTCAAAAAAAAAAAAAAAAAAAAAGTTACTTTTATGATACATCATGGATTGTCAGCTCAAATGAGAGAAAAATATCTTCGCAAGAAAACTTAATTTACTCTTTGGCTATTTTGGCTACATACCAGCTTATTTTTCAGCTTCAATACAAGGTCTACTGTTTCTACTTCTGTATGTTTCTGGATCCAAAGAAGTAAGTCCTAGAACAACAAGCAAATCCCAAATCAACAAGTACTCAAAATAATATTTGAATTTCTCCATTTCAATAGGTAAGGCTATTGTGAAGGAAGGGAAAGAAAGGAAAAGAAGAATAAGGTGTTTAACCCAGATATAGCACTATAGCACAAGAATAATTCTTATCTAAGATATTACAATTATTGCTAAATAGATAATTTTTAACATCAGCCAAGTAAGTATCTAATATTTGAAAATAAAACAAAATGTAAATACAACTATTATGTACCCCTAATAATTAAAAATAAAAAACATTTTTTAATGTAAGAAAATTCCTTTCTGGCCAGGTGCAGTGGCTAACACCTATGATCCTAGCACTCTGGGAGGCTGAGGCAAGAGAATCACTTGAGCCCAGGAGTTTGAGACCAGTCTGTGCAAAAGCAAGACCCTATCTCTCCTAAAAACAGAAAAATTAGCTAGGCATTTTGGCAGCTACATGGGAGGCTGAAGCAGGAGGATTGCTTGAACCCAGAAGTTTGAAGTTGCTCTGAGCTAGGCTGATACCAAGGCACTCTAGTGTGGGGCAACAAAATGACTCTGTCACAAGGGAGAAAAAAAGTATTTTCTGAGGTGGACTTTTTAGATCAAATAAAAATAAAATTTTAACTCAAACTGTAATATTAACTCCCACCCCTACTAAGTAGTGAATCATTAATTCATAAGGAATGTTAGCTAACAAATCAAGATAACTAAATACGAATGTCCATTGGATATAAACTTTGCATCTGCCTGAGCTTATGTTTCTTTCATTATATTCTTTTTCTTAAAGCCACAGTCACTGGGAGTTTATGATAACAGAGTTAACACTGAGGCTAGCTAACCTGAATATTTAAAGCCAAATGCCAATGAAAATAAGAAACTATCCTTTATATTTTCACAAGTAGTTTAATTTAAAATAGGCTGGTGATAAATACAGAATATGAAAAATCAGTTTAAATACAGAAAGAAATTGTTAATAGTTACTAGAAAAGGTGAATAAGTTATACTAGAAAAGATGTGGAGTCAGACTGCTTGGATTTCAATCCTGATTCTATCCAGTACTATGCTGGTAAATATTTGACAACTAGTTCTTCAGAAATGGTTTCTGGTTTGTAGCTTTGTCAATTTTTTTTCATTTGTCTTTAAATTTTGTTTATTTTTAGAAAACAAATGGCAAAATATATACATTGTGGAGTCTGAACACCCCCATGATAGAGTGTGAATGATGGTCTGGTTCTGAAGCTCCTGAACATACTCTTTGGTGTAAGTAACTGCTGTCTTCGGTTCCTCATGTGAAGGTGGGGGTCCTTCCACCAACTTTACAAAATAATGGCAATAAACTTTCTCCATGATCCCAAAGTGACCTCTGCCGTGATAGTGGATACGTTTTAGGCACTGGCCTTGCCCTGAGGTGGACTTAGCTATATATAAATTGGATCTGAATTCCACATTGTGGTCTCTCACTGCCATATCTTGTGCTTCTAAGAGAACCTCTTTAATTATTTGGGCCCTATTTCTGTCACTGAATTCCAACTGAGTCAAAGCCTGGTCAATGGGCTCGGCGCCTGTGGCTCAAGTGGCTAAGGCGCCAGCCACATACACCTAAGGTGGCGGGTTCGAATCCCCAGCCCGGGCCCGCCAAACAACAATGATGGCTGCAACCAGAAAATGGCCAGGCGTTGTGGCGGGCGCCTGTGGTCCCAGCTACTTGGGAGGCTGAGGCAGGAGACTCGCTTGAGCCCAGGAGTTGGAGGTTGCTGTGAGCGTGATGCCATGGCACTCTACCCAGGGGGATAGCTTGAGGCTTCGTCTCAAAAAAAAAAAAAAAAGCCTGGTCAATGGACATTCCTCGTATCAATTTTGCCAAATACAACATCTTGTCTTTGCTATATTTTATTTGTCTTTGATAGTGGTAGATTTCTGCTGGTCTCTGAGGTTCTCCAGGCAGTTGTGGAGGATAAACAATTTTATTCTTCTTCTCTCATTTTGGAGAAATGGTAAGAGAAGCACTCGTGTTAATATATGACTGAGGTAAAACACCCAAGGCCAGCTTCCCCGAGTTCCTCAGGTTCTGTGTCCATAATGGACCCAACTGTCTCAGGACTGCTGCCACCATCTTTCTGCCTTCCCCTACAGAAGCCAACGAGTTCCAGCTTTGCCAATTTTTGTGGTGTAATACTTCCGTATAGGCAATTTCAAGATACCAACCTGAGGTCACTGAAGGCACAGCTAGAAACAAGGGTACACAATCAGCTCTTGTGAGCTAATACAAGGGGACTCCAACACACTGTTGGCTGCACTACTTATCAGGTATGTGATCTGAGGCAAGTCCCTTAACTTCTAAGCTGCAGGGGTCCCATAATGTGGTTCATAATGCATCTACCTCAATGAATTCTTGCAAAGATTAAGAGATTATCCATAAAAAGTACCTATACAGTTCTGGCACTTGGGGTATGATTTAGAAGAGTTAGTTACTATTTATAAAGAAGTAGATATAGATATAATCTTCAACCTCTAAAAATAACTATCCCTTATGTTGGCTTCCTTCATGTGCAAATAAAATTAAAGCTAAAAACAGAGAAGAAAAAAAAATGGCTATATTTTCAACAGACATGCAACACAAACATACAGCTTTCTAACCTCTTCACAAAGAGCTTCCAGATGAAGTGCCTCCAATTTTTGGGTCATTTCCTTCCGACGAGCCTTAAACCAGCCATCAAAATTTGGAGACTTTAGGAAATGCCTATAAAAATAAATTTTTAAAAAGCAAAGTTTGATTTTGATTTCTTTTCTTTTCCTTAATACCTTTCCTATCTATAGCTCAGAACTGTGTCACAAAATGGCCTTTAAAAAAAATCTAAATAGGGCGGTGCCTGTGGCTCAAAGGAGTAGGGTGCTGGCCCCATATGCCGGAGGTGGGGGTTCAAACCCAGCCCCAGCCAAAACTGCAAAAAAAAAAAAAAACTAAAACTAAATATAAATCCAGTTTTTTGTTTAATTTTTTAAAATTTGCTTTTAAATAAAGCACTACAGATGGGTGAAAAGAGGAAAAAAGACTAACCGGTAAAGTCCAATCCAATCGCCTTTTATTCTAGAGGTTAGCTGAGGTCCTGTTTTCTCAAGTGTTTTCATAAATTCTTCTGGAAGAAATTGTCTTAATTGGGGTGGACTCTAGAAAATAAGATATAACTATATTTAGAAATTAGAAATGGATATATTAACAGAAATTAATTACAGTTAAAGAACTCAAACAGGAATTTATTTGAATATATTCATACCTTCCATGGAGAAATACTTTTCTGCAAAGGCATCAAGCTTGCCACATATCTTTCCTAAAACCAAGAAAAAAAGTAACCAAAGTTTGGTGCTTCTACCTAGAATGTCTTCAAATATATTTAAACAGACTTTTTGTAAAGAGATGGGGCTGGGCATGATGGTTCACACCTATAGTCATATCACTTTAGGAGACCAAGGCAGGAGCATCACTTGAGCCCAGGAGTTTAAGACCAGCCTGGGCAAAATAGTGAGACTTTGTCTCTACAAAAAATTTAAAACATAGCCAAGCGTGGTGGCACACATCTGTAGTCCCAGCTACTCAGGAGGCTGCGATAGGAGGATCACTTGAGCACATGAGACCAGGATTTGGAGGGTGCAGTGAGCTATGATCATGCCACTGCACTCCAGCCTGGGCAACACAGCAAGACTCTGTCTTTAAAAAAAAAAAAAAGAAAGAAAGAAAGAGTTTTTCTCCAAGTTTTTCATCATATGCTCTTTCAATGAACAGCAAAGAATTCATCACTCCCCCAAGTCAAATTTGGCTAAATTTGGATTGAATTGGGAAGTCAAATTGAATTGGATAATACAAAGGGCTACATATTTTTAATAATAAGTAACCTTATTGAGTAACTATTAATATGTACCAGAATGTTTTCATCATTTTATGTGCCTGATCTTTTCTAATCCTTGCAACCATCCTGTGTGGTAGGTACCAGTATTTTGGGAAAATTAAGGCTTCAAAAACCTAAGTAGACTGGGTGTGGTAACTCATACCTATAATCCTAGCACTTTGGGAGGCCAAGGTGGGAGAAGTGCTTGAGGCCAGAAGTCTGAGAGAAGCCTCAGCAAAGATGAGATATTGTCTCTAAAAAAAACAGTAAAAATTAACCAGCCATGGGGGCTTGTACCTATAATTCCAGCTATTTGGGAGGCTGAGGCATGAGGCTTGCTTTTAAGCCCAGGAGTTTGAGGTTGCAATGAGCAGTGGTGACACTACTGCATTATGGCCCAGGCGACAGAGTGAGACCCTTTTTTTTTTTTTTTTATTGAATGGTAACTATGTACATTAAGGCACTTCTGGGGTACAGTGTGGGGTTTACACATGCAATCCGAAATACTTCCATCAAACTGGTCAACACAGCCTTCATGTCATTTTCTCAATTATTGTTTTAAAACGTTCACATTCTACTCTTAGAAAGATTCACTTGTACCCCTGGTGAGACCCTATTTCAAACAAACAAACAAACAAAAATAGACAATAAGAGAAACTAACCTTACCAAGGTAACACAGCTTGACTTTAGTCCATGCTTTTGAGTATTACTCAAAATTTATTTACTTAAACAAACAGCTTTAAATAGACCCAAAAAAACTAACAGTCATAGACCAAGAATATTTCATGAAGATTTTCAGGTTTTCCCCATATTATGTTTATAGATAGATTACATTACTAACTACACAAAATCTTTCTATGATGCAGTCTCCAGACGAGGACTACATCAAGATCCTGCTTTTATATGACACACCACT